TTTTCTATGACTTTCTCTATTTTATGATCCCACCAGTTTTTGCTTACAGGCAAATGATATTTTTTGCAGATCTTCCAATGCACCATTGTTGCTACTTTGTCATGCCGCTGCTTGTAATCAGTCTGTGCAATCTTCTTGCAACAGCTTACCAAGTGGTCCACTGTTTCTTCAGCTTCTTTGCATAGGCGGCATTTACTGTCTGTTGCTGTCTTCTCAATTTTGACTTTGTATGCATTTGTCCTTAAGGCTTGGTCTTGTGCAGCCAGAATTAGTCCCTCGGTCTCTTTCTTCAATTTTCCTGCTCTTAGCCATTGCCAGGTTTTATTATTATCTGCTTTCCCAGCTATTTTTTTCATGTATTGGCCATGTAGTGCTTTGTCTTCCCATGCCTCTATTCTGTTCTTCATTTGGTCTTTCTTGTAGGCCAGTTTGGTCTCTCCAGTAGTCAGTAAGCCTTCCTGATATACTAATTTCAGTGCATCTTCATCATTGTTCTTCAGATATTCTTCCAAAGCCATTTTTTCTTCTTCAACCATCTGATGTACTTGTAGCATTCCACGCCCACCTATTTGCCTTGGTAGATAAAGTCTATCAATGTCACTGCGTGGATGAAGGGCATGATTCATTGTCATTATTTTTCTGGTCTGCCTATCCATTGCTTTTAGTTCTGCTTGAGTCCAGTCCACTATTCCAGCTGTGTACCTAATGACTGGAATTGCCCAGGTGTTGATTGCCTTTATGGTATTTCCTCCATTGAGTTTGGACTTTAAGATCTTCTTCACTCTCTTGATGTATTCTCCTCTAATCTTTTTCTTGACTTCAGTGTGCTTGATGTTGTCAGCTTGAAAGATACCCAAGTATTTGTAGTACTCTTCCTCATCCAGACTCTTAATGTTATTTTCGTGGGGCATCTTGATTCCTTCAGTTTTCACTATTTTTCCTTGTTTGATAGTAAGTGTGGCACATTTGTCCAAGCCAAACTCCATTACAATATCTTGGCTATATATACGGACAGTGTTGAGCAGCAATTCTATTTCAGATGATGTTTTTTCATACAGCTTCAGATCATCCATGTAAAGGAGATGGGATAGTCTGGTAGATATTTTTGATGTTTGATAGCCATGTCCTGAGTTATTCAGTATTGTTGACAGAGGAAACAGTGCAATAACAAATAGTAATGGTGACAATGAATCTCCTTGAAATATTCCTCTCTTGATATTAATCTCTCCCAGTCTCTCACCATTGATCTGCAACTGTGTCTTCCATTGTGCCATCAATCTTTGCATAAATTTTCTGATGTTTCTACTGACTCCTGTTATTTCTAGGCACTTGATTATCCAGTCATGTGGCAGAGAGTCAAATGCCTTTTTGTAGTCAATCCATGCCACATTCAGGTTGGTCTTCCTTTTCTTGCAGTTTTCCAAGATCATTTTGTCCATTAGGAGTTGATCTTTTGTTCCTCTGCTATTGGGGCGGTTTCCTTTCTGCTCAGGTGGAAAGAGATTGTTTTCAACTAGATGCTGTTGTGCTGCATCAGCTACCACACCAGTTAGTAATTTGAAAGTTGTTGGTAAGCAGGTAATTGGCCTGTAGTTGCCTGGTGTTGCCCCTTTTGCTGGATTTTTCATTATTAGGTAGGTTTTCCCAGTTGTTAGCCACTTTTCAATTTCTCCTCCTTGTAGTATATTGTTGAACTGCTTGGCAATGAGTGGGTGTATATTATTATTATTATTAAATTAGAAATTGAGTAGTTCTATGTTTTCTTTGTTTCTTGTTCATCTCTCTTATTTATGTTTTGGTTTAGCTTTAGTTTTAAGAAGTCATCTGTGTGCAACCATTTATATAATTCATAGCATTCCATTGTTCTATTCATAATTGTTATACATTATAAATTATGATGTATGAGATTGGAAAGAATTGGTTTTCCTTTAAGAATATATGTGTGTGTATCTTTTAGTAAGAGAATATTTACATAATAATAGAAACGATATTCTGTGAACTATGTCAACAATCATTAGAAAAATAGAAATTACATAGAACATATTTAACAGAGTAAATAACATACCTAATTAAATGCATGTTATAAATTAATAATAGTTAACAAGCACTATAATTTGCTGGTTAAATATACAAAAAAGCTACTGTTTCCTTAGCAATGAAGGAAGTAGAAAATGATGAATTATTTGGGACAATGCACAATAATAATATCCCAAGGGTATATCAATAAATTTGGTGGATTAACAAACAGAAGGTTGTTTGGAAAGTAAAGGTTAGAATTTGAGCATCTGGAGATGTCTGGAAAGATCAGAAGATGCTAATTGTTTCACTATATTAGGAAAAACATCAGCATTCTTATAGCAACTAGTAACTTAATAGCAGAATAAATAATTATATAATAATTATATACTTCCCATAAGAATGTGAAGAATGTGAAATATGCAAAGGAAGCAGAGGTTTGATCACTACAGTAATGCAGGCAATATTATTATTTGGCAGCTACTATATACATTGCTACAAGGAATGGATGCAATTTAGGTGAAGAAGAAGCCAAAAATGAGGGAAGGAACACCAGAATATACCAGAGCTTTAGTTTTTTTCCATTTACCATCTGGCTTCAAGTTAGTTGGAATTTTCCTCAAATATAACTGCTGAATGCCTTGTTTTAAACACATGAACTACTTTATTTCCCTGAAGGATAGAGGCGTTTTGTTTTCAAACACAGAACTACCCAATAGAGGAAAATTTATGAATCATATACAGGTAGTCCTCACTTAACAACTGATCATTTTAAGACTGTTTATAGTTATGACAAGCCCTAAAAAGTTACTTATGACCCACCCTTGAAGTTGAAACTGCCATTCCCCCCCCACAGTCACATGATCTCATTTCAAGAGTTTAGCATTTATAAATGTTTGAATTTATAGCATGTTGCAGCATCCTGCAGTCCCATTATTTGCAATGTTTTTTTTTGCCAGTTTTGCCATTTGGGAGAGTGGATTTGCTTAATGACCCCGTGGTTCACTTAATGACCACACAATTTGCTTAATGACTGTGGCGACTATGGCCACTGAAAAAACAGTCTTAAAATTGAGTCAGGTCATGTGGTGACCCACTTATTGACTGTAACGAATTACAATGGAAATTCCAAGCTCAATTGTGAAGTCATGTTTCTAGTCTTTATTTTATGAATTTTAAATATGGACACCCACCACTGAGAATTTTACTGAGGTATTACATAATAGACTTCTTAGCTAAAGTAATCTCCAATCTAGTGCTGAGATCTTGCAATTCTGGGGACTCTTAACAGAGTTTCTAATCATTATGCTGTAAAGTTTCTACTAAAATTCTGGCAGCTCAGAAGTCAGTTATAAATAATCTGGAACAGTTGTGACAAAGTGTTTAGCACTTTCAGACAGACATTCACGGCAACTGGCAGGCACTTTGAAAGCTGTTTCTCATATTAGTGCCCTGGCAAAAAATAGAAAAGACTATATCCTTGTCTTCTGCTAAAATATATTTCACTGAAGAATGTTTTTAATAAACATAAGAGAGCACTGATTTAACCACCCAAAACATAGGATGTCTTGAGAACTCAGTAAGCCTTTATTGGAGTTCTCCATTCCTAAACTAAAGACATTAAATTTATATTAGATGATATGAAGAAATTCAGTAATGCTATAACCAGAAAGAAAAATTGCACTTAAATGGTTCTTCAACAAAGCACAGAAATTCCACTTTGTATATATAATTGAAATGTGATAAAATTTTAATATGTTGGAAAAACTTATCAAATGCTGCTGCTAGATAAAGAAGTGAAGAATATTCCATTATTCATTCATGTTCCTATGCTTCTAAAGCAGTGTTTCCCAAACTTGACAATTTTAAGGCATGTGGACTTCAACTCCCAGAATTCCACAGCCAGCATTGCTGGCTGTGGAATTCTGGGAGTTGAAGTCCTCATGCCTTAAAATTGTCAAGTTTGGGAAACACTGTTCTAAAGGATAAAAATGAGGAACATTTCAAAGTGTTTTGGGGAATATAGAAACTGCTGGCTTTCTCCTCTTCCTGGCACCTGAGCAGAATCTCTGTCAGATTATTATCTTTAGCACAAACAGAAAAGGCTATCCTGTTAATGAAAAGACAACACTGAAACTAATCCACAGATAATTATTTATCAGCTGGTTAATTAGGAACTGAATGCATATTAGGCTTCTTTGATAAAATAAAAATAAAACTTTAGCATATTACAAAATAAATTTAAAGATTAATATATTAATAGTTTCATTCAAATAATCAAGGTAGTTTTAACTTTCTCATTCATAGAAATTTTATATCTATTGAAAGAGATACTTTCATTCTTCATCACAAATAAATGCACTAGCGTTTGCAAAGAAAAATTTTAAAAAAGTGCTCTAAATATTAAAAAGTTACTGGGATAAATGCAGTTGTTTTTAACAGTAATTATTATGCACTAGGTTTTTGACAATTATCCATTATTCTGATAAGGAAATGTTTGAATATTTGAAAAGGATGCAAAAACATTTGTTCCTACACTCCATTCTCTGATCCCACTGTCTCTAGAATAGTGAAGAACAGTCAGAATTGTAATTACCTACTAGTATATACAATTCTAGGATTGTGAAAAATGGTACTTATTATGATTAAAAACTATGGTACTGTCCTATCATGAACAATACTAATGTCTTTATGTTAAATTATCCACCGAGGCTGGATAGCTATTATTCAAAAGATTCAAACAACTCCTGTGTTGCAGGATATCCATAAAAATGGTTATGAAACCACAGAAATCACTGTATTATTATGGCTAGAATCTCACTGCAGTCATGCAACAGCATATTCAATCTTAGAACAGAAATAGATAACAAAAGTTATAGATGACAAGAAAGATGAAACCAATATTTCAAGCATCTAAAAATGCATTTAGAAAATTATTTATACATGGAGAACGTTTTCCTGCTTCAGAAAACTGAAATAATTACCTTTAGGTGGAAAATATGACTTGCTTTCAGCTTTGTGAGGCCAGTCCACCACAAGAGGTCCAAACCTACGAAAGCTAGCAGTGATTTCATCTATAACAAAATAATAATTAAGATTCATCAGAAATAAAAATGAGTGATAAAACTAAGTACTTTTGCTTAATGGTTCTGATTTTTTTAAAGTACAGGTAGTCCTCAACTTCCAATCATTTAGTGACTGTTTGAAGTTACAACAGCACTAAAAAAAGTGACTTAAAACGGTTCCTCATACTTATAACCATCACTGCATCCCCAGGGTTAGTGATCAAAATTTGGGCGCTTGACAATCGGCATGTATTTATGATTATAGTAGCATCCCAGGTCATGTGATCACCAATTACGACCTTCCCAGCCAACTTCCAACAAAGTAAATCAATGGGGGAGGCCAGAGTTGTTTAATGATCATGTGATTCACTTAAAAACTGCAGTGATTAATTTAACAATTGTGGCAAAAAAAGCTTGTAAGATCAGGTGTGACCCATTTAATATCTGCCTTGCTTAGCAACACAACTTCTAGTCCCAACTATGGTTGTAAGTAAAGGAATACCTGTATCTGAAGTTGAACTTTTTCAGTTTTGGAACTACAGGTGTGCAGAATGTTTTGAGCATGAAATTCCATGAAATGTTTAGCATTCAGAGCAAAACAAAACAGAATAGAATAGAATTCTTTATTGGCCAAGTGTGATTGGACACCTAAGGAATTTGTCTCCGCTGGTGCATAAGCTCTCAGTGTACACACATACAACAACAAAGCGATAAGTCATAGGTTATATATCATAGTTACAATGAGCTGTTTTGACCATTTTTGAGATGTTTTGAACTTGAAAAAGAATTATTGCAATCTTGAACATGTCAAAATATTTGTCTGAAACACCTCCAAAATACTGGAAAAAGTCACTATGTATTTGAAACAGCACTTGTACATCAAAACAAGTTGTTTCACTAAATTTTGCACTTTATATATTTTAAAATATTTCAAAACAGAACCCTATTTGGAATCAAATTTCTTAAATTATTTTTTACTCTATGTTTACTTTTTTGTCTTGCCTTGTATGTGTCTAGTCTTTTTGTCTTTATTTTTTTAAATGCAAAAGAAAAAGAACCAGGATCCTGTCACTGAAGCTGAGGGCTACTGACTAATGCTAATATACTGCTCATAGGCATTGTAGATGTAGCTCTAGTTATGAAAAACAGTACTGCTATATAAACTGCTTCAATATTAATAAAAGTAACACCAAAAAAATTAAACGTATTTTATATTCCATGTCCTAAGGAGAGATTACCAATTAGGACTGTAAATCAATTTAAGCTATTTTGATCCAAATTCAGTTGTTATTATATACATAGTCCTCAACTTACAACCATTCATTTAGTTGCTATTCAAAGTTATAACGGCACTGAAAAAAATGCCTTATCACTACTTTTCACGCTTATGACCATTCAGTATCCCCACTGTCATGTGATCAAAATTCAGATGCCTAGCAACTGACATATATTTATGACAATTGCAGTGTTTTGTAATCATCTTCTGCAACCTTCTCACAAGCAAAGTCAATGGGGAAGCCATATTTACTTAACAACATGTTACTAATTTAATAACTGCAGTGATTCACTTAACAACTGCAATAATTTTATCACAAAGGTTGTAAAATGGGACAAAACTCACTTAACAACTGTCTCACTTAACAACAAAAACTTTGGGGTTAATTGCGGACTACCTGTACTAGAAGAATTAGAGATACTGTATTATCACCACTAAACTATCCTATCAGGCAATGATACTTTTTTCTGTGTAAGGTAATACACTGAATTCAATACTGTATTGGTATACTCAGAAGTAGTAAGTAATAGGATTCAGGGAATTTATAGTCTAAATTGCCAAAGTTTATTTCTCACTGAGATGGTGTTATTAACATAATCTTGACTTCTTCTGTCCCCTCTATTTCTCTCTTTGTATAGGCAATAGACAAGGGGAAGAAAACAGAAGTAGTCAAGGTGATTAGATACACTATGTCTTTGTGTGTATATACATATACTCTGTGTGTGTGAGTGTGTGTGTGTGTGTGTGTAAGAGCTTACTCTATTAATCTGTTTTTTAAAGAAATGAAAGGCCACTATACTACTGAGTCTTAGCTGCCAGTAATTTTTAAAGGGCAAAAAACCCTATACTAGGGGTCCCCAACCCCCGGTCCATGGACTGGCACCGGTCCGTAGCATGCCAGCAACCGGACTGCACAAACAAGAAAAGCCCCATCCATGGGATGCAGGCAATACACAAAACCTTTTTCCATGGCACCAGTCCCTGTTGCCCCAAAGGTTGGGGACCTCTGTCCTATACCCTTCCTCCCATCAGTCCACTGTACCTTCATCAATGTCAGGAGGCAGACCTCCAACAAACACCTTCCTAGAATAGCGTTCGACTCTTTCACCATTCTGACAGTGAGTTGGGGAGTTGAGACCTGATGATAAAGACTGGTCACCATGACTGTCATCCAGAAAGCCATCTTCAAAAGGAAATAGCGAAGATCGACCTGTGAAATATGTTACAGACATTTACACAACTGATTCAAATATGCATAGAAGCTTTCCATTAATAAATCTACATAGCTTAACATGCAATATTCTAATTTTTCATATCATATTCTACATATAAATATATTTGTAAGTAAATTAGGACAGTTTGAATTCTGGATCTTTAATCATTCAAACAGGAATTGTCATTAACTTATGAGGATGGGCTACAAGGATACATTTATAATATTCATGATAACTAAGCAAGTAGAGATAAATTCACATGCTATACCTCCAATCAATTTGTGTTTACTTGTGATTTGGCATACTCTCCAATCCTATACATGGAAAACCATAATTTTGATGCAAGCATAGCCTAGAAATTTTTCTAGCAATGGCTGGCTTGAACACTTGCTCAGAGGATAATATTATTCTCTCCTGCTCAACATATACTTGCAAACTGCCGAAATGAATTCAAAAGTTTTTAGTCACCTTGGAAAGGAAGAGTTATCAGGAACTGTTAACATATTTTGCTTACTGAACCTATATGCCCACAAAATAATCTTATAATTCACAAGTTTCTCCCTCCCAACATGGTCATTTTCATTAGAACATAAACATTAAAACCAGATCTGTAACATTTAATGTTCTTTATCTAATACTCAGATTATAAAGATTATAAAAAGTCAATATGAAATATTAATATGTTCCATCATCTAGAATACCTATGATTCACACAGCATCCATAAATCTTACTCACTGTTGTACAATATGTTTTAGGCGTAACGAATTTAAGTCAAAACCTAAACAATTCTGTACATTTCCCTTTTTATTTAAAGTGCTTGTTTCAAAGTAAATTTGATTACATAATAAACTTTCTTCCCTGAAACCAACAGAGTAAAATACAAGCACAAGCAAATAATGCCAAATTCTTCTTCTAATTCTCTTTCTCTTTGTGTGTCTATGTGTCATGCATATATTTATGCAAATATTATGGACTGCATTATACTGTAGGCAAAAGCATCTAGAAATCTTGGCTTATATTTAAAAAGCTAAGCAAGATGACAATATTTGGATAGGAAACCAACTGGAAATCCCAGGGTTGTAGACTAGACAGTGAAAGCAAACATCAGATCAATTCAACATTGTTGTCAAGAAAAGAACCTTGATATCTTTCTATAGCTACTAGCTCAGCTCAAATGAGATTTACATTTATGGCAAGAACCTAAGAGGTTTCCTATAAGGAAGTTTTTTCTTCCATTATTTGGCCCTGAAATCCCTATTTGGCCCTGACTTGTAAAAAGCCTTTTCAAAGGATCAGTGTCCCTCCTAAAAAATGAGATAGGATGCAGAAGGTCACTCACTTTGGAGCAATTCTCCATTGTATAACCAGCCCCCACATTCCAAACCACATCCCTGGGATAGAATGTGGGGGGTAGTTATACCATGAAGAATTGCTCCAAACCAGGTGAACTTCTGCATCCTATCTCATTTTTTTAGGAGAAACACTGATTTTTTTGAAAAAGGTTTTTCAGTAACATGAGTGGCTGCTTGCTGCTATGATAAGAATGGGGCAGGAATAAACCTCTTTATGTTAAATTATATTTGATTCCAAATTTACATCACAGTGTTCCAGCCCCTGCTCTCATGTCACTTTTGCTTAGAAGAAGTTGTCCTAAACACTAGAAAGTTGTTAGATACAACATTGGTTAATTCGACTTCCACATTCAAGTACTTGCGGATTTGCAAGTCACTTCGCAAGTCCAAGTGTCTTTTAAGACAAAAATTGTGTTCTGAAAAAGCAGTACTGCATTCTCTTACAATTTCACTAGTTAATAGTGGCTCAAGGTACTAATATTCATTTTTAGTAACTACTATAATGTTGTCAATATAAATAATATTATGAACAGAACATTTTATAAATGGTAAGAAAAAACATTTTAAAACAAACCAATTGGGATATATAAATGTGGGCCAGTTTATTCTAGTAGTTAAGGTACTGGCTTAGAAACCAGGAGATTGTGAATTCTAGTCTGACTTAGTCATGAAAAACTAGCTGTGTGATTTTGGGTCAGTCACTCTCTCTTAGCCCACCCCCTCACAGAATTGTTGTAATGGAGAAAATAGGAAGACGAAATTGTATTAGGTATGTTCATTGCCTTGAGTTATTTATAAAAAATAAAGTCAGGATAAAAATAAAAGGTTAATTTTTTTAAAAAAAATATTTCATATACTAAGTGATACATGTTTACATGACATAATCTTGGTACAAGGGAAAGGACCTTTCTCCTGATGCCCATTTACAGAAATAAAATTGGCTTCTTCTATAGCTTGTTTTTGTTACCAAAAGGAATCCAACTAGTAGAGAAGAAAACAAGATTTCCAAAATAAATTATTTAAAGGAAATTTTAGGGGATTATTCATTGTGTTTATCCTATGGGCAATGCTTTTTTTGTAAAAAAAAAAAAAAAAAAGGTGCCAGAACTCACACATGTCATACAACCCGCCTTGCCAACCTTACAAGGTTCCATCCAAAACAGGTGCCGGAACTCCTTTCTGGGCGTTCTATGACAAAAAAAGCCCTGCTTATGGGTATATCTGCCAAACCACAAATCTGCAATAAGTATATTTGTTGAATAGAAGCAACCCAATAAATTATCCTAGTTAATAATTTGAGTAATGGCATGATCATTTTTATCACAATAAAACTGAACTATTTCATGAGCCATTGCCATACAGTACAAATTATTCAAAACATCTGGCTTGAATTTCCTAATTGAGTTTCTAAATATTTTCAGAATCTTTACTACTTCAAATTCTGGAAGTTTGCTTAACACTTGCTTTTTAATCTATGCGGTGATGATATCCTACAAATAAGTGTTAATTAGAAATGTATATGTGCATGTGCATATGCACTCTCATGTGTATGTAGTCAGTTTGATGTATAGTGGCTTGGTAGCATTGTGGTTAAAGAGCCACCCTTGACAGAGGAAACAGGGTTTCAAATCATGGCTAGTATCTACCTTACCAGTACGGATCTTACCAGTACAGCAAAGACCCTCTAACACTTCAAACTGCCTACCTCAGATATGAGAGTGACATGAACTAAGAGAGTCGTGCCGGCTCAGATGTTGCCCAGAGTAACAAGGTTTGTGCCACATATTGGGGAATGAGGACAATCTGAATATAAATGGGCTACTGGAACAAACCAAACAATAGAATCTGAAACTGATGAAATGCTACAACAATAGTAGACTTAATGAGAGGGGATATATGAAATGTATGAGATGGACAGAAGACCTACATTCAAACTAACCGAAAAAAAGCTAATTACCCAATACTTAAACATAGTGAAGTGCTTTAACAACTTAAGATAGATCACTACACATTATGTCTCAGACTCAAAAAGACCCAGAAGAACAATTGGATGGGCAGCCAATACCTGAAGTGGAACATCACCGCACCCCACCCTGTGCTGTACAGAGCACAATATCTGATATGAGGCATAAAGTCATAGATAAACAAGCTATGGCTCAGAGGAGAAATGCCATGAAATAATCTGCTAGAATATGTCAATACAGCCCTCAGGACAATCCTTACTACTATGATATTTAAATCAAAGAACTGATATATGCTACATCCACTGTAATCTTGGAGATGCTTGACTACACAAGCAAGAACAGTAGTACATAGCCTCCCTGGAAAATGAGGTTGAAGACTAAGATCAAGGAAACTCGGAGAGAAGTTAGTCAGCCGGGTATGGTGTGGTGATTAAGGAAAAAAAAATGATTAAGACTTGTCTACTGAAGAAAATACAAGGTCATGAGTCCATCTAAAACAGACATTTCAAACTTGCGATGTCATGTGACGTCGCACAACATATCGGAGCTTTTTCACCGTTGCCGCCAATAGAGTGGGCGCGGCTCCGGTATGATGAAACCGGCCCGTGGGCCAGCAGTTTGACACCCCTGATCTAAAACCCTAGACTGCTAAAGGCTCACAACAATGGCTACCAGGCTAAGGAGATAGGCTAGAGAAACAAATGCCAAGAACATAAATGTCCTGTTCTCCAAAGAACAATCCAAGGTGTCCTCCCAACTGCAGTGCAACAACACAGCAATAGCAGAGCCATCAACAGCAGATACTGAATAGTACTGAAAGAACATAGCAGAGAAAGAGAATATACACATAACTCAGACAATCAGGTAACCTTATCTATTCTATAAGAAAAATATCTTTTAACTTTATTAGTAATTTTAATTCAGCAAATAATTTTTATCTACTTTATCTAGGTACTTTAGCTGAGAGATTAAACTGCAAATATGTTTGCTGCTCTCAATAGTTTTTCTCCATCTTTTATTTCAAATGCAGAGCATACTTCTGTATTTAAAGTAGCATTATATAGCAATGTAGCATTGCTGATGATAAAACTAAGTAGTAGACTAAGATTTGTAGTATCCACTCTCTTTCAGAACATTCTCTTGCTTTTAATTGCATTTTTTTTCAAAAACTAGATACCCCTTAACTATATTCTGCAGTAATCAAGGAATCTTTCATTTCTCCTGCATTTAGTATCAGCTCCTTTCGTCCTTAACCAGCTGGCAGCACAATCAGCTCATTAATCTTCATCTATTAGTAACTATGTTTTCTAATTTCTAATCTAAATGCAACCGGGCATCAAGAAACAATCTGCAAAGTCTCTTTTCCTTTTCTTAGTTTTATCGTCAGCAATGAGCAAAAACAAATAGAAGCCAGTTCATGATGGTAAAACAATTACTCTGAAGAAATTATCCAAAATCAACACCCTGATAGGGAAAGAGAATTCTTTTCAAGTTGAATGCTGCAACTGATGTTGAGCAGCATTCAAACAAATGGGTACAGTCAGTATAGAAAAATAGTAAGAGCCAAAAATAGAATGGATAATAGATACTATTATCATATCACAATTATTTTAATCATCTGTATGTATTATACTTATTTCGGCTAGTATCAACATTATGTCACTACTTCTCATTATCAGCAGGCTGTCATCATTATCATCAGCAGTATTAATACTCATTTTAAAATCATAGCAGTATATATTTACACTGCTGTGTAACACTGTCTTATTGAAAGGAAGCACAACTAACTTGTTGCAAATTAGATTATTTCACTTTTGGAGGATGTCATTTAAATATTAAGGGCTTACTTAACTGAGAGAGATTTTTAAACACATAATTTCAAACCATCAGAATTCAGCAGCAAATTGCAAACTGATCTTGACAAGTTCCAAGATGTTAGTTCAGACTGGTTTATTTGATGAGTCAAATTCAGTTACTTACCTAGAATCAAAAATTATTCCAACTAAACTGAATGATACAAAGTGACCATAATTATGTCCTATTCAGAAAAAATAAGCAAATTGGTGCTGATGCTCTCTAGATGCTTTGGACATAATCCTAAAATCCATTATTCTATATTTACTTTGGCCAGATGACAGTGGCATGGCTTATACTACCAGTCTAGAATCTATAGAAGGAGACTGGTAATAAGAGCAACAGAACGAAGATATGCCAGGCTCACAAAGGCCGGAGAGCTTTGGCTTTAGCATCCAGCTTGTGAAGATGAGAAAAAAATTAGCTTCGGACCTTGCCTTTGAACTCTGACAAAGGAGCAGCATGTCAGCAAGCAAGGAACACAAACAGCATGCTATAGTGGAACTAAAATACAATAAGTGTTATATTGATGGATTACCAATTGATGCAAAGAATCACCAATTGGGAGATGGGTGAGGAAAAATTAAGAAAAAAAAACCCATTATTTCCTTTCACCTGGTTTAAAAAAAGAGTAAACTTTAATGGTGCTGCAGCTTGCAATCATAAAAAAACAATGGAGCAGAAAGGTAAAACTTGTAATAATGTGAATTAGAGTTTGGTCAACAATATTTATTATCCAATTTTAAAATTACAAACTTTGTTCTGTATAGTTGCAGAATGCATATATTGGGCTGTACAGAATATTTTAAAGAGTAGTTCTGAAATTACACTTCTAGATACTTTTCCTTTACAAAAAGCAAAACTTAGCTTGATTTTAAAATCTCAAAATATCTTTAAATTCCAATATTATAAGCCCCTAAAATGTACTAGATCTGAGTGCTAATTTAAAATAAAACAAGTCAAAGATTTTTAAAATATTCCTTGATCAGGTTAAGGGCGTTCATGTGTATTTGTGTTCAGATATTTGTATTTACAAATTTATATTTGTAATATAAATTGGAATTGTAGTGAGGAAAAATATATTTTCCCCACTCCAGTCATGACAGGAATTTTGGGAGTTTTGCTAGCGTTATTTGCCTTTTGAGCAAAAGCTATGATTTCATGTTAATATGGACTGTATTTTATCATATACAGCAAACAGAGGATTCCAATAAAAAAGTGATAAATGAAAAGAGGTAAATGCCTTATCCTCTGAAACCACATTGATCTATTTCATATATTTCACGCACTCTTATTATTATTTTTATTTAAATATATAGAGCATAAAGCTTACCCATGTGTTTCATCAGGTTTTAAAAATAGAGAAAAAACGCATGTTTACTATTGGAATATATTAATATTGCATTTTTTTCTTTAAGCAGATAAAGCTAATTATCCTTTCTACTCCTACCAGTTTTAGCTTTTAATAGCAGCAAAGTTCTCTTTCAATATTCTCATTTCATTATGTTCATATACAGTAATTACAAAGCTACTGAGCAGCATAAAGACCAGCATCATTGTTATGGGATGAGGAAAGCAATTCTTGTCTTTTACAAAAATATACCGCTATTTATTCTGCAATTTGTTGTTCCCATGACCATATCTGATGAAGCATTCAAAAGAAAAATTTACCTCGTCTCCGCCCATAGCTCCTGGCTGCATGTAAATAAAAAAAAATACAATAGGTATTGACATAATAAGAATTACTATATTTATAATTTTCTGCAAATCTCAAATCTGAACAAAATAATTCAGATATTTTAAATGTGGAACAAGCATATGGAATATAGCCAAATACACAATTCTAGATTTCCAAAATATACGGGCAAAATATATTTGATACTAAAGAACTTGTTGTAAAAGGTACCTAGAAGAGAATATTATTTTTACAAAAACCAATCTCAAGCAATTATTTAACTGAAATCATTTTTAAAAATAATTTTGTTTAATACAACAATTTATATTGCATCCTTTAGATCAATTCATATTAGATTAAATGGCTATATATATATATATATATATATAATGGAAATTCAGTAGATTAAATATATAGTATTCACTATCAACGTTAATAACCTTATAATCTTAGTTATACAGCTTTATTCTGAAAATCTAATTTTATCGAACACTCAAAGCAATTTTACGTACTGGCAAATAGAATGTAATCTGCAAAAATTATAAAAATTGAACCATTATATTTAAAGAATGTACGGGTTACTCAAATATAATTGTAACTTTAAAACACATCTATATTTCAGTTCTTATGTCACTAAAACAGCAAATTGTAATATTTTTATTTTCTGAAATGAAGAATCCAATAATTCTTTGCCTTTTTTGTATGTTCTGCTGCTTCCTTCATTGAATGAGCAACTTACTACAGGCTTGGTAGGAAATATGCATTCGGTTTTCTGAATCAAAAAAGATTTTAGGTATAGGACATTGTGAAATTCAGCCAAATACATCATTCTTTCTAGAAAGCTAACATAGTGGACATTCAAATCTTTATAGTAGTTGGTAATATTTTGATCCTCCTTCTCTACCAGTAAAATAATTTCACAGTCTTTTTTTCTATAAACTGTTCATTGTGGTATTACTATTTAGAGCTTTTTAATTATTTCAAACTGCTAATTTCATGTACATTAGTACTGTAAAATGTATTTCAAATTCAAAACACACATATGAAAATCACTGAATTCCAGAAACACGTATACAGTGCTAAATGAATTTATTGCTCCATATATAGCTTATAAAATTAAAAACAAAAAAGAGTGGTAACACTGAAAATAATGTATACAGCTTTTAAATTATATTAACTCTGAGATGGAAAGAATCATAAAACAAATCTTCACTTTCCCCCCCCCAATTTTTTTTTACATATGTATTTCTGTCAAGATAATTTAAACACTGCAACAAATGGTCATCTTGCAGGAAAGACAGTGCCAGGAAAAATGGAACCAAATTCACTGAAATTAATGTGAAGGACTGGACACAAAGACATAAAGAACCCTTTAAAACAGTGATTCTCAACCTTTCTAATGCCGTGACCCCATAATACAGTTCCCCATGTTGTGGTGACCCCCAAGTGGGTGTGGCCACCAATAAGAGGGAGTAGGACAGCTAGGGAAAAGGGAAAAAAATGGCGGACAGCATGGTTTGGCGACCCCCGAGAAATGGTCATTCGACCCCAAATGGGGTCCCGACCCACAGGTTGAGAACCACTGCTTTAAAAGCTGCTGTAGAACAGGCAACTAAATACCAACACCAAATACTGAAACACAAGTTAAAATAAGAAAAATGCTAATTAAAAATTAACCATTTATTTTCTGTATCTCTATACTAGGGATATATTTCACTCATTTCCTTCTACTATGTATTAGAATGGGTGAAAATATTTGACATTTAAGTTGCATTATGGCAAAATATATAATTGATTTTAACCACAGTTGAGCCCAAAATTTATGTTGCTAAATGAGAAATTTGTTAAGTGAGTTTTGCCCCATTTTATGACTTTTCTTGCCATATTTGTTAAGTGAATCTCTACAGTTATTCATTTAGTAATACTGTTGTTAAGTGAATCCGGTTCCCCCTTTGACTTTGATTGTCAGAAGGTTGCAAAAGGTGATCACATGATCCCGGGACACTGCAACCATCATAAATGTGAATCAGTTATTAAGCATCTGAATTTTGATCACATGACCATGGGGTTGCTGTATCAGTCGTAAGTGTGAAAAATGGTCATAAGTCACTCTTTTCAGTGCTACTGTAACTTGAACGGTCACCAAGCAAACTGTTATAAATCAAGGACTATCTGTATTTCAGCTTTATTTAAGTGACTAAGCAATCCAGAATTAACAAATGTAATAAGCATACAAAAAGACAAAACCTAGTAAAGCAAATTTAATGTAGCATCTGTGAACTCTTTGAGTGCAGAGATGACATGAAAGACTCTACATAGATTTTCAAGAATTGCATTAAAAAGATAAATTCCCATGTACAATTCAACATGTGAGAAAAATGTTGAATTGTACAAAATAACTTTTCACATCTTGAGACTCCTTCCCAAGATGGCTGTTGAACGGTAAGGAGATTTGCTGCCTAAGCTGGCTTTCTGGCAGTGCTATTCCCTGGATTTGAATGGGAGAACTCAGGAACCCAAGACAACTTTTGGATGACTGTGTATCCATTTGGGAAGGGGAGTCTTGAAGATTCAGTTCCCTCTGGGAGAGATTGGAAAGTCACAGGCATCCATCTTCCTGTCAACATTTCAGGTTTTTTTAAGCATGTCTAGTCTTAATTTTTCTTTTTGAATTTTTACTTTGCTTTTTAATCTTTAAAAGTAGATCAGCCAGCTGAATGCTGATCTATTTCAACCCCCTGCTGGACTTTTAACTGTTCTCTTTTTTCTTTTTCCCTTTGATTAATGCTGTTCTAAATAAATTTTGTTTTCTGTATGGAAACACTGTGTGCTTTTGAATGATGGTGCTTTCATTTGATTTACATTAATATTGGACTCTCACCACAATGTTTTTATATTTTTTTAATTTGCAAAGCACTTAGAGTTTCTTTTTAATTTTTCTTTTAATCTTGGATCAAAATACCCAGAAAATATTTTTCCTATTTCCTTCTGCTTCAGTTTCTTTGTTCTCTGGTTAAGCTTCATACAGCAATATTGTTTGAGATTAAAGACAAACAGTGGCTGAAATCTGAGAAAAGACCTTCTGGCAACATAAGGTTTCCTGCCTGAGACGGGGGTTTCAACTAGAAGACCTCCAAGGTCCCTTCCAACTTTATCATCATCATCATTATTGATCATCGCACAGTCAATCAGATGTTCAGATTGGATTTGGCATTTTTGTCTACCTATCAAGTCCTTACCGAGGACCTGGGATAGGGAGATGTGGACGTTTGAATTGATAGAATTACAGATATCGTCGCAGAATGGAAGTTGTTCCTAGTAAGGCTGCCTTTTGCAATTGACTGATGGCAAATTTGTAGTGCTCCAGTTGTTTTGAGACTGCACCCAAGGCATCTATTACTATTGGTACTACCCTTGCTTGCCTTTGGCACAGTCATTCTATTTCTACGTATTTGTAGGTCTTTGTATTTTGTTATCTTCTCCAGATCTTTCTCTTCTATTCTGCTGTCTCCAGGCACCACCATGTCCACTATACAGACTTTTTTGTCTTTTTATCAACAATTGTTAAGTCCGAGGTGTTATGTGGCAGGTGCTTGTCTGTTTGAATTCTAAAGTCCCAGAGCAATTTAACATTTTCATTTTTTATGACTTTCTCTATTTTATGGTCCCACAGGTTTTGCTTGCAGGCAAATGATATTTCTTGCAGATCTTCCAATGCACCATTGTTGCTACTTTGTCATGCCGCTGCTTATAGTCAGTCTGTGCAATCTTCTTGCAGCAGCTTACCAGGTGGTCCGATTCTTCAGCTTCTTTGCATAAGCGGCACTTACTGTCTGTTGCTATCTTCTCAATTTTGACTTTGCATGTATTTGTCCTTAAGACTTGGTCTTGTGCAGCCAGAATTAGTCCCTTGGTCTCTTTCTTCAACTTTCTTGCTCTTAGCCATTGCCAGGACATTATTATCTGCTTTCCCAGCTATTTTTTAATGTACTGGGCATGTAGTGCTTTGTCTTCCCATGCCTCCATTCTCTTCTTCATTTGTTCTTTCTTGTAGGAAAATTTAGTCTCTCCAGTAATCAGTAAGCCTTCCTGATGTACTAACTTCAGTGCAATCTTCATCACTGTTCTTCAGATATTCTTCCAAAGCCATTTTTTCTTCTTCAACCATCTGATGCACTTACAACATTCCATGCCCATCTATTTGCCTTTGTAGATAAGAGTCTGTCACTGCATGGATGAAGGGCATGATTCATTGTCATTATTTTTCTGGACTTCCTATCCATTGCTTTTATTTCTGCTTGAGCCCAGTCCATTATTCCAGCTGTGTCTCTAATGACTGGAATTGCCTAAGTGTTGACTGCCTTCATAGTATTTCCTCCATTGAGTTTGGACTTTAAGATCTTCTTTACTCTCTTGATGTATTCACCTCTAATCTTTTTCTTGTCTTCAGTGTGCGTCATGTTATCAGCTCGAAGGATACCCAAGTATTTGTAGTAATCTTCCTCATCCAGAGTCTTAATGTTATTTTTATGGGGCATCTTGATTCCTTGTTTTCACTATTTTTCCTTGTTTGGTAGTAAATGTGGCACATTTGTCCAAGCCATACTCCCTTGCAACATCTTGGCTATATATACAGACAGTGTTGAGCAGCGATTCTATTTCAGAATCCATACAGCTTCAGATCATCCATGTAAAGGAGGGGGATAGTCTGGCAGATGTTTTTGATGTTTGATAGCCATGGCCTGAGTTATTCAGTATTGTTGACAGAGGAAACAGTGCAATAACAAATAGTGATGATAGTGAATCACCACTAGTGACTATTAATATTATTGTTGTTGTTGTTATTATTATTTTTTATACTTTAAACATGAACCTCAGTCAACTGAACATTCAAATTGGCTGGCGCTGATGGTTGCTACCAGCATTCTAAGTGTCAATCAGGTATCTCCTTAAAATATAAGATGTTCCGAGTAGCACAGTTTTTTGTAACATTGCTGGAGTTATTGCAGGAAGCTGCAGT